GAGGAGGATTGGCAATAGATGTTAGCTCAGAGCCGGTCTTCCTCAGCAAAAAGAGGAGGATTGGCATGGATGTTAGCTCAGGGCTGATCTTCCTTACAAAAAAAAAAAAAGATGGTAGGATGAATAGATTTTACGTTGCAGTAGATTGAAGGGCTTTTGGTGCCCAGGAACTAGAGAAAATGAGCTGGAAAAATAGGAGGTGATAGTCAGGGAGTGGGATGTTTGGAATTGAGATTTTGGAGGGATTTCAGGTATTAGTAATAAAAGGGATAGGAAAGAGGACAAGATCTTGGGTGGAGAGGACTTCAAAGAATGGAGAGGCTAGGGTATTGTGGGGATTATCTATGAGGATATTGAAATCACCAAGAATTGGTATTATTGTTGGAAGGAGTGACAGTGAGCCAGGAGCTAAAATCTTTGAGAAGTGAGAGCAGGTAGCCCGAGCATTAACAGATGACTATAGCAGAGAGAGGTGGGTGGTATAGTCTGAAAACTTCAGATTCAAAGCTAGGTGTATTTAAGGAGGAGGCAGGGAGAATGGTTTGCCATTAGCAATTAAGAGCAAGGAGGGCACCTGTCTGGCTCCTGGTCCAGTGACAGGAAGAAAATGAGAAAAAAAATCACTTATTACTTTAATTAGCTGCAGGTGGAGCAGTGTATAATCAGGACATCTAAAAGGTGAGGAGAATGTTCAGCGAAGAAATTGAGGATTTAGGAGGTTTTATTGTTAGTGAATGTTAAGTTCCAGAGGGCATAGTAAGAGGGTTTCAGCATTTGGAGAGAAGTGTTAGGTGGGACAGAATGGGGAGTGTGTGGAACCATATGGAGATTGGAGTGTGGGAGATGAGGGGTGACTGAGGTAAAGAAGGATAAAGGGCCCAATGAGGTTGATTTGTCCTGGTTGTTTGAGGACAGATAGTATAGTGAGGCTTTGTTGGGGAATGGTGAAGTAGATGTCAAGGATCCTCTGTCCATTACTGCAGATGGAGGTTGGAGGCTGAGGGAAGGGCAGTCTTAGATAGTGCCCGTGGGCCTTTCTCTAGATCCCTGCAAATGGAGACTGCACCCCAAGAAGCTGTCTGTCACTCTCTGTACCTGCTGTGGCTTGTTGACTACTAGGCTTTGCTTTAGGGGAGGCATTTACACTAGGTAGTCTAGTTCTCACCAGATGAGACTTGATAAAATTATCATCTGCCAACTGATGTCTCCCACATCTCTTTATCTACAGCTCAGATTTCTCCATACAGCTCCAGACCAAATATATATCTTACTATTCGCTGAAAAACTTCATTTGGATATCTCATAGATAAATCCTCTTTTTTTTTTTTTTTTTTGGTGAGGAAGCTTAGCCCTGAGCCAACATCTGTTGTTAATCTTGTTCTTTTTTTTTGCTTGAGAAAGATTAACACTCAGTTTTATATGTGGGACACCCCCACAGCATGGCTGACCAGTGGTGTAGGTCTGTGGTTGGAATCTGAACCTGTGAACCCGGGCCGCCAAAGCAGAGTGCACTGAACTTAACCACTAGGTCATGAAGCCGGCTCCGATAAACCCTCTTGAACTCAAATGTCTGAAACCGAATGCAGCATCTTCTCCCCATCAAAACTGATGTTTATCTGTGTCAGAATAATACTGTTTTTCTAGATGCCCAAGCTGGAAGCTGTTGAGCATTGTGCTAGAATCTGTTCTTTTCCTTCTTCCCATATCCAGTAATCATTAAATTGTATAGATTTTATCTCCTAAATATCTCTTGGATTTTTCTGCTTCTGTTATTTCCGGAGCCTCTCAGTTCAGGTCACCTACAACGCCTGCCCAGGTTATTGAAACAACCTCCATTCTCGTTCTCCCACCCCCTTCCTCAAAGCAGCCATTTTAGCCATATTGAACTACTTTCAGTTACTCACATAGAGCAAACTGTTTTTGGCCTCCTCCAATCCTGCTGATTTGGCAGTGTTACCATTGTGCATTCAGTATTCAGTGCATGAGACTCCCTCTCATGAATGTCCACTCCTTTTTGTTTTTTTAAGCCTCATAGGTAATATAGAAGGAATAATCCAACTGTATACTTTTGCTCATGAGATTTCTAGTAGATGATGAGGTCACCAGGTCTTTGCTTTCTTCTAGAAAGTATTATTTCCATTCAAAAAACAGTATACTTTCTTTAGGGAAAAAGGTTTTTTTTCCTATGCAAATATTATAATGTTTGCTTGAATTATACCAGTTGCATTAAAATCATTAGATTGTCCTTTTATTTGCTGTTTTTGTTGTCATACCTCTGCTGATAAACCTTTTTTTTAATTGATGCTAATCACCGATTCCGTAAGCATCTTATGAAATCCCTTTATCAGTGAGTAGTTGTTTCATCTTTTTTCTCCTCAGATGCGAACTTATACTGCTTTTTGTTTGTGTTTTATTGAAGGTACGGCTTGTAGATGCAGGCTTTGTTTGGACTGAGCCCCATTCTAAGAGACTTAAAGTTAAACTAACTATTCAGAAAGAGGTAAGCTGTACATAAGTTCTCAGCATGGTTAAAGTGTAGGTAGTGCAAATGAGGGGCTATTGGTAAGTTGGCTTGAACAGCTTAAAAATAAAAGAATACCCTCTTAATTTTAACCCTTCGTTTGGAGCAGCCATTGCTCGTGATTAGGGGGCTAAGATAATCTTTTCAAAGTTATTTTCGTTAGGAAAAAGATTGAAGTAAAAACATGAGCAAAGGCAGTGCTTCTCAAACTTGGCTGATTATCGTAATGACTCACAGTAACTGACTCAAACTGGATTCAGCTGGATGTGAGTTGGAATCTGTATGTTTAAAAAGCTTCCCAGGTGATTTCTGATGATTAAGCTATGTTTGGGAACAACTAAATCAGGAAATGTTTTGTTTTTTGAGAGTTTTCTTTGTCTTGTTTTTTTTCCTAAGGATGAATTTTGTACACATACTTATATGTAAATTATAAAAATATTATAAGTTATATAAAAATCCTTCAAAGAATATCCTCATAACCACTTCAGCTAAGGGTAAATTTGAAATGTTAATCTAATAAATCCTACAGATTAAACCTATATATCTTTCTTGAAATAGTGTAACTGTTGACTTTAAGTGGATTTATTGTGGATGTCTTCAAAGCATTCGTGGAAGAAAATTTGAAGTTAAATATTAAAGCATCTCCTTTTAAGAAAAATATTAGAGGCCCGGCCCCATGGCGTAGCGGTTAAGTGTGCGTACTCCGCTGCTGGTGGCCCGGGGTTCGGATCCCGGGCGCTCACTGATGCACCGCTTGTCAGACCATGCTGTGGCTGCATCCCATATAAAAGTGGAGGAAGATGGGCACAGATGTTAGCCCAGGGCCAGTCTTCCTCAGCAAGAAGAGGAGGATTGGCATGGATGTTAGCTCAGGGCTGATCTTCCTCACAACAACAAAAAAAAAAAGAAAAATATTTGTTATTAAACAGAAAGGAAAGAATGAAGGAGAGTGATTGTTTTCTTTCTCAGGTGATGAATGGTGCTATCCTTCAGCAAGTGTTTGTGGTAGATTATATTGTTCAGCCCCAAATGTGTGGAGATTGCCATCGAGTAGAAGCTAAGGATTTCTGGAAGGCTGTGGTTCAAGTCCGGCAAAAGGTAATGAGAGAACGATGATGAGTGAATTCTCCATCTTGTATTTCATCTTTGTCAGTTATCAACAGCTAGTAAAACCTCCTCCTCTCCCTTCTTTCGAGATCCTTCAGGCATCAGGGATAGTCTGTGTGCCTGGAACATTCACCTTTAGAAATAGATCACTGTTGCGTTTTAGATAATGTTTAAAGATTGTTTTTGTTTTAAAAATCAGCATATCTATAGATGGCTTTTTTTCATTTCATCTATTAATCTAATGCATTTATGTTTAGACTTTGCACAAAAAAACTTTCTACTATCTGGAACAGTTGATTTTGAAATATGGAATGCATCAGAATATGCTTCGTATCAAAGAGATTCATGGTGAGTTAAAATTTAAAAGCATTTGAAATGATGTTAGAATTTTATTTCAACTGACCTAAGGAGTCTTTATCTCTTTACTGATAATATCTAAAATAGTACTGTCCAAAATAACTTTCTGTTAGGAAGAAAACAAATCTTAGTTCTTTATCTGCACTGACCAGTGTGGTAGCCACTAGCCATATGTGGCTGTTGAATACTTGAAAGGTGACTAGGGTGACTGAGGAACTGAATTTTTAATTTTTTTCTATTTTAATTTAAATTTACACCAAGTAGCTACCAGTTGAGTAAACCAGTGTGTAACTACAGTAATAGATGTAAAGTGCTATGATAGAAAATTCATTAAAACTTATTTTATGCAGAGATCAGTTTCTGATTGGAAGAAAATTATTTTCGAGATCTGGAAGTTCTTCTGTTATACTTTTGTTTTTCATATGCCTAGAGGCATCTGTGATGGATACATTAAATCAGAAGCCTAAACTTAGTAATAATGAACAGTGGTATACAAATGATATAATTAGATTTCTTGAAGATGGAATTTAAAAATTTTTGCGTAATTTTATAGTGGCTCCTTAGAGTGTTCTGTCTTAGCAGTTACTCTTGATGTAGCATACTTATACATACTTGATGATGGATGAATATTTCTTTAATTAATAGTAGAAAACATAAATATTCTTTAACAAACTCTTAAGTCTCTTGCTAAAGGTTAATATTTTTAGGTAGTGCTTGCTACTGTTGGACATGTACTTGTTTTCCTAGTCTTTAAAGTATAGGTTTAGAGATAGCTGTTGTTGAAGGAATGACCAAATTCTTGTATTATACTTTTTATTTTAAAACTGAGTTCCACTGTTAACTTACTGATCTGTTATTTATTTATCTTGTATGTCTTGACAAAAGTGCTTAAAAGTGTGGTCTTGGGTCCTTAAATGGGGGAGGAAATGATTATCAGCTGTGTCACCTGGAGAAAATCTTTTAAGCTTTGTATCTGACCTGAGTGCATTATCAGTAGACATAAGGTGAACAGTCTAAATTGGTGAAACACAGTTTAGTGAATATTTATTGTAGGTAAGCTACCCTGCTGCCTGTTTACAGTAGTGCCTAGCTATGTGTGGCTAGCCACCAGGCAAAAATAACACCTTTGTTCTGAGTAACTATTTTGAGTAACTCTTTTGAGGATAAGGATATTCAAATATTCTAGCTAAGGAAGCAAAACACTATTATTTTTCATCATCATGGCAGAAATATCCTTACACGGAATTTTTTTTGGAGCAAAAGAGTTGGATACATTCTGGGATGTACTTTTGCAGTCACTTTCAAAACCAAAAATGTTGCAAGTTTAACAACCTTTTTTTTGTCATCCAGAGGAATTAATCTGTTTTTTTTTTTCCCTACTAGTTCTTGGTTTGATTTAAGTGAATCTTTTGTTTGTTTCCTTGGTTATTTGTTGTAACTGTTTTTAAAATCATAATAATCGTAAAAATTCAAACATAGAAGTATGTATGAATAGAGAGGACCTCTGTGTCCTTTTTATCTATTTGTTACCCCCAGAGGTAGCCCCTTAAAACAAGATAGTACAATATGTGCTTTGTATGTAAATTGTGATAGCAGGTTGGTTTCCCCTCATGTGTGGGATCCTTCTGTAATATTCTGTGACTGCCATCTTACTTAATATATTTGTAAACCTTTCCACATCATTGCACGTAGTCCTATTTCATTATTTTTAACCACTATGTGTATGTATGTATTAAGGTATATTTAATGATTTAGTTATTTCTTATTAATTGACTTACAAGATGTTCCATTTTTTTACTGCTACAAATAGCATTGTAATAAATATTCTTATGTGGTGCATATTTAGTGGTTTTTCTGTGAGATTGAGTTCAGGAATTGAAATTACTTGAAATTACTAGACGAGAGTGCAAATGTTAGATTTTTATATGTACTGCTAGGTTGTTTTCCAAACACTTGCCAACACTGCATAAGATCGTATTGGCCTTTCTAAGTTTTGCTGTTCTAATAGAGAAAATAATGGCATCTTGTTTTAATTTGCATTTCCTTGATTACTAATAAGAGTTAGTTAACATTTTTATATGTGGATTAGCCGTTATATTTATCTCTAATGTGAGTTGTCTGTTCTTCATATGTCTGTTTTTTCCTGGTTTATTTTGTGTGTATTGTTCAAGATATCGATCTTATTACGTGTGTGTGTGTGTATAGAGAGAGCCGGAGAGCATGCATTTGAGAGTGTGCATTTGAGCGTGAGTCCGAGAGAGCAGATATTTTCTTGCTACGTCACATGTCTTTTATCATTTAAGTTTTTCATTTCTTAGTTAAATAGCTATGGCTTATGACTTTTGTGTGTTACGTAGGAAAGTTTTCTATACTCCCAAGATTATTTTTAAAAAAGTAAATTATAGGTTTTTGTGTGTGTGTGTGTGTGTGAGGAAGATCAGCCCTGAGCTAACATCAGCCAATCCTCCTCTTTTTTTACTGAGGAAGACTGGCCCTGGGCGAACTTGCGTGCCCATCTTCCTCCACTTTATACGGGATGCTGCCACAGCAAGGCTTGACAAGCAGTGTGTCGGTGCTCACCTGGGATCCGAACCCTAGGTTGCTGCAGCGGAGCGAGTGCACTTAACCGCTACACCACAGGGCCAGCCCCTGTAGTTTTTGTTTTACTTTTGGATCTTTAATCTTACCTGGTAGGAATTTTTCCCGGAAGGTTAACTTGCATTGTTTCAATACCAGTCTTTTCCCCACTGATTTGAAATATCTCCTTTCTTTATACTAAATTCCTTTATACACATGGCTCACTTCTGGTTTATTTTGTCTCACTGCTTCTACCACAGTATGTAAATTATACTTTATGATGTGTTCCCTTATTAATTTTTTTGCAAAATTTGGTTGATAGTGAGTAAGAGCATCGATTCTGGAACCAGATTTTGTGGGTTTGACTCTCTCCCACCAGTGTTTTGCTCTGTGACCTTAGGCAAGTTAATTAACTTCTCTGAGCCTCAGTTTTCCCATCAATAATATAGAGAGGATGATGATAGCACCTACCTCATAGAATTATTGTGAGGATTAAATAATCTGTAAAGCACTTAAAACCATGCTTGGTGCATAGTCATGTTTATTCAGTTTTTTCTATACTTTAGTGATATTTTATAGTTTTACTCAAAGATTTTGAATGTTTTCTTGTTGGTTTTTTGGGCTAGTCTTTACTGTTTGTTATTGTTGATGAAAACTTTTTCCATCAGATTTTCTAATTGATTTTTGCTAATATATTGGAAAGCTCTTGATTTTATATGTTGATCTTTCTGAAATTTCTTAATATCACTAATAGTTTCAGTTGATACTCTTGATTTTCCAGGTAAACAGTTATCTGCAAACAATTGATAGTTTTATTTCTTCTTCTGCAGTACTTTTTCCTCTTTGTTTTCCTTTCCCTTTTTCCCTTTGGCTAGGAGTCGAGAATAGCGTTGAGTAGTAACATATCAGGCGTTATCATCTTTCTATGTTTCACCCCTAAGAATAATATTTTTTGAGATTTCTATTTGATACATATGCATATATAGTTATATACATATTTAAGCTGTTCTATCCAATCTTGCCATCAGTTATGTTAGTGACATTGAAAAAATTGGAAGGTTTGCCCTCTTTCTACCTAGTGTTTATCAACCTCTTGAAGTTTTGTAAGAACCTGACCATTAAGCCGTCTAGTTTGGTATGGGGGAGGGGAGTAAAGGCTTTTATTAGGATATTAGTCTCTTTCAGATATTCTGCTTCTTGAATCAATTTTAATCGCATTTTCCAAAGAAATAAACCATTTCATCTGTCTTTTCACATTCTTTGCATAAAATTGAACGGTGTATATATATGTTATAATGTTAAATCTCATCCGTAACTATACGTCTTTATTGTTCTAATGTTGTCTTTTCTCATCTCCCATTACCCCCCGCATCACAGCTGCCCAAGTTTTGTCGATTTTGTTAGTTTTTTCAAAGAACTAGCTTTAGTTTTATTGGAAAGGTCTTATTTTTTCCTTTTGCTTAATTTTTCCTTTTATTACTAATTCCTTCTGCTTTAAAAAAAATTTTTTTTATTGAGAAATAATTGACATATAACATTATATTAGTTTCAGGTATACAACATAATGATTCGATATTTGTATATAATTCTAAATGATCACCACAGTAAGTCTAGTTACCATCACCATACAGAGTTATACATTTTTGTTTTCCTCTACTTTCTCTAGTTTTATTTTGTTTGAATTAATTGAAAGCTTAGTTTCTTTTCAATTTCTAATAAATATACTTAAGATTATAAATTTTCTTCTGAGTGCCATATTGACTCTGTAGCTGGTATTTATGGCTACCTTTTTCCACTACCCATTGCATATTTCGTTTGTTCGCAGCAAGCATCTCAGCTATTTTATTTCCCTGGTGTAGGAATTCTACATTTCTAGGAGTAGAATTGCTGAGTATATGGTAAATTTATGTTTATCTTTTGAAGAAACTGCCAAACTGTTTCCAAAGTGGCTGTACCGTTTTACATCCCGTCAGCAATGTTTGAGGGTTCCATTGTCTACAGATGCTCACCAACACTTGTTATTGTCTCTTTTTGTTTATAGCTATTCTAGAGGGTGGCATGAAGTGGTATCTCATCATGGTTTTAATTTGCATGTCCCTAATGACTAATGATGTTCATCGTCTTTTCACAACCTCATTAGCCATTCTTGTATCTTTTTTGGTGAAATTGCTATTCAAATCTTTTGCCTATTTTTTAGTTGGATTGTTTGTTTTATTAAAGTTATAAGAGTTTTTAAAAATATATTCTGGATACAAACCCCTTTCACATATATGTTTGCAAATATTTTTTCCTAGTCTATATCCTGTCTTTTCATTTTCTTAATGGTATCTTTTTTTTTTTAGTTGTGATAAGAATGCTTAACATGATATTTATCCTCTTAACAAACTTTTAAGTGTATAATACCTTATTGTTGACTGTAAGTACAGTGTTGTATAGCAGATCTCTAGAGCTTATTCATCTTGCTTAACTGAAACTTTATGCCCATTAGTTAGTACCTCCACACTTCCACCTCCTCTCAGCCTCCGGCAACCATAATTCCACTCTGATTCTATGAATTTAACTATTTAGATACTTCATGTAAGTGAAATTATGCAGTATTTGTCTTTCTGTAACTGGCTTATTTCACTTAGCATAAGTCCTCGGAGTTCATTTATGTTGTTGCAGATTGCAGAATTTCTTTCCTTTTTAAGAATGACTAATATTCTATTGTATGTGTATACCACCTTTTATCCATTCATCTGTTGTGGAAACAACCTAAATGTCCCTCGTCTTGGCTGTTGTGAATAGTGCTGCAATAAACATGGGAATGTTAATATCTCTTTGAGATCCTGATTTCAGTTCTTTTGGATAAATACCTAGAAGTGGGATTATTGGATCACATTATGGTAGTTCTATTTTTAATTTTTTGAAGACCCTCCGTACTCTTTTCCATAGTAGCTGCACTGTTTTGCATTCCCACCAGCAATGTACAAGGGTTCCAATTTCTCCATATCCTTGCCAATACTTATCTTTTGCTTTTTTGATAATAGCCATCTTGACAGATGTGAAGTGATACCTCATTGTAGTTTTGGTTTTGCGTCTCCCTAATGAGCATTTTTTTGTGTGTGTGAGGAAGATCAGCCCTGTGCTAACATCTGCCAATCCTCCTCTTTTTTTTTTTTTTTTTTTGCTGAGGAAGACTGGCCCTGGACTAACATCTGTGCTCCACTTTATATGGGATGCCGCCACAGCATGGCCTGCCAAGTGGTGGGTCGGTGTGCGCCTGGGATCCGAACCTGCGAACCCCGGGCCGCCGCAGCGGAGTGCGCGCACTTAACCGCTTGCACTACTGGGCCGGTCCTGACATTGAGCATTTTTTATATACCTGTTTGCCATTTGTATATCTTCTCTGGAGAAATGTCTATACAGTTCCTCTGCAATTTTTTAGTTGGGTTAGTTTTTTTGCTATTGAGTTGTAGGAGTTCCTAATATATTTTGGAGATTAACCCCTTGTCAGATATATGGTTTGCAAATATTTTCTCCCATTCTGTAGGTTGCCTTTTCACTGTGTTGATTGTTTCTCTTGCTGTGCAGAAGCTTTTAGTTTGATGTAGTCCTGATTGTTTTTGTTGCCTGTACTTTTTGTGTCATATCAATGTCATGAAGCTTTTCCCCTATGTTTTCTTCTAGAAGTTACATTTGAGTCTTGAATCCATTTTGAGTTGATTTTTGTGTATGGTGTAAGACAAGGATCCAGTTTCATTCTTTTGCATGTTGATGTCCAGTTCTCCTAACACTGTTGAAGAGACTCTCTCCCCCCACTGTGTATTCTTGGCACCCTTGGTGAAGATTAGTTGACTGTAAATGTGTGGATTGATTTCTGGGCTCTCTATTCTGTTCCATTGGTCTGGAGGGCTGTTTTTATGTCAGTGCCATACTGTTTTGATTACTGTAGCTTTGTAACTTATTTTGAAATCAGGGAGTGTGATGCCTGCACTTAATGGTGTGTTTTTGAATTGCAAAAGTTTTAAATTTTGAAGTCTAGTTTATCCGTTTTTTTCCTTTATCTGTCATGCTTTTGGTGTTGTGTTTAAGAACCTTGTCTAATCAGTGTCACAAAGATTTTCTCCTGTTTCTCTCAAATGTTTTATAGTTTTAGCTTTTATATTTATCTCTAACCCTTTTGGGTTAATTTTTGTTGCATGGTATGAGATGAGTCTAAATTCATCTTTTTCCACGTGGATATCCTGTTTTCCCAGTGAAAAGACCATCCTTTCCTCAATGAATTGCCTTGCATCCTCTGTCAAAGATCTGTTGATGATAAATGTGAGGGTTTATTTCTGGATTCTCAAATCTGTTCAATAGATCTGTATCTATTCTTATGCCAGTACCACCCTGTCTTGATTACTTAAAGTTATCAAGTTCTGAAATTGGGAAGTGTAAGTTCCCAACTTCATTCCTCTTCAAAGTTGTTTTGGCTATTCTGTTATTTTAGTTTCCCAGTTAGCTGAGTTGTTTGGAAGAATATCTCTAAACATTTCTTAGGTAGGTTCCCTTTTAGTTATCCCTTGGTTGCTGATTTTTAATGCTACTGCGTTGTGATTGGATAATGTCTAGTAATTTCTACCATCTGGAATTTATTGAAAATTTTTTTTAATCTTACTACATGATGATTTGATGAATGTTCTATTAATTTTTGAAAATAATATGTATTCTTTCTTGGCACCGTGTTTTATAGTCTCAAATCAACTTTGATAGTTGGTTATTTGCATTCTATGTATCCTTGTTTTTGGTCATTTTGCTTATTTTGGTTTTGATAGTCTTATACTAGTTCCCTCTAACGATTCGTTAGTTTCTTCTTTTCTTTTTAATAGTTTTTGTTTTCTGCATCTCAGTGCTCTGTTATTAGATGCATTCCTATTGTTTTCTTGGTAGATTGTTCCATTTATTACATAAAATATCCTTCTTTGTTCTGTTAGTGTTTTTCTCCCCCCCCTTGACCTTGAGTTTTATTGTGTCTGAAATTAAAATTGTGAATCTTTTGTTAGCATTTGTCTGATTTGTCTATCTTTTTGTCAAACAAGTCTTAAGTGATGTGTTATCCCTAATCTGTGTGGCTACAAAATAATATCTTTTATGTTTTCTAATAATTTGTTTAATACACATTTATTTGTGATATAGTCATGTTAATAGAGGAAATTCTTATTTTGCAGAATTATTTCATGTGGCTTTTTTTTTTTTAAAGATGGTCTGGATTTTTATTATTCTTCAAAGCAGCATGCCCAGAAGATGGTAGAATTTCTTCAGTGTACAGTTCCCTGTAGGTATGTTCTGAACCTAAATGTGATTAAGTCGAAGGAGCTGGAAATGGATGTAGGTCATATCCATTCTTCAGGCTTAGACAACTTCTTTTATGTTAAAATATTTAAAATCGTAGTAGGAATACTTACCAGTTAGTAAGCATTTATTGGATTAACCACCTTAAGAGAACTATTAGCCAAAGAGCATGTAGACTCTCTGGGGAGCTAGATCTCACCCTGCGATAATAAGCACTGTAGTGCTGAGCCAGTGATTGAATGTATTTAATAAGAGAAAAGAAAGATGGGAGTAGAGGGCTTTGGGGAGAAGCTTCATGGAGGAGGAGGGATGTAAGCTTCTAAAATGGGAAATTTTCAAAGATAGAGTTTATATTGAAAGGTGAGATTAGTGTGAATGAAGACTTGCAGTGGGCATTAGTGTGACTTTTAATGGATACTGTATGTAGACTAGATAGGTCTGAGCTCAGGGCATGTTTTGGAGGTTTTTGGTAGATAAAGTTGAAAATAGGTAGGGTGCAGTCAGGTCCATCAAGGTTTTGAAATGTAAGTGGGTGAACTTAGGCTTCACCATAACAGGCATCAGGAATCTGTTTCAGACCTTGGACAGTGATGATTCGATTTGATAAAAATTGATATTCCTGAGACTATTCAAGTAAGGACCTTTGCCTTTTTATTACTATTAACTTTTTCTCTTACTAGATACAAATCCTCACAGAGACTGATCTCTCAGGATATCCATAGTAACACATACAATTATAAGAGCACTTTTTCTGTGGAAATTGTTCCAATATGCAAGGTACTTTTCCTCATTTAATTAATCCATGTCTGTAAAAGAGTACAAGTAATTAATTGGTTTATATGTAATTATTAGCTCCTGGTTTCCTTCTGGGGTTGGTTAAAAATTTAGAATAACTTCCTTCTTAAATGATTTCTGACACGTTCAGCCATGTTAAAATGATGTTAAAAAGTAATCATGCTTAGAATTATAAATTGGCATACCTTTCATTTTGGTGTACTAATTGAAAGGCCTGGTGGCAGTTTTTTAATGTCCATAGTCCTTAAAATTAGTAGTTCTATGAAACTTTGAATATAGGAGATGACATTAAAATAAATATCAGTGAACCACTTTGTGGAATGTGTTCAAACTGGATTTTGGCATGATAAAATTAGATAGTATTGTGGAAATGAGATCATAGAATCATTTTTGTGATTTAAAAAAAAATCTGAATAACATTTAAAATGTAGATTATCTTTTCATTTAATTGTCCTAAGGTAAAACCCTGCTTCAAAAATAGAAATGAATTAAAATTCAATTGAGGATATGCTGTATTAGAAGGCTGTGTGTTAAGGATTATGTATCTAGTGGTCTCTGCTGTATAGGAACTTAGATGTCCATACGTATCCATTAATAATGAAAAGTGCCATAATTTATTATGAGCATTCTACATAAAGTTAATATTTAAGTACTTGAGTATATTTCATCTCTTCACATCTCATAATAACTAGGGTAAATCATATCATCATTTTGAAGATGAGGAAATTGATGCTTGAGGAGGTTAGATGACTTCCCTAAAGTTACATAACCGCAAAAGGATGAAGCCAGATTGGTAGCTAGGTCTGTGACTAAAGCTTTAAAACTGTCACTATTTTTTGTTGTAGTACTGTACCAGGGATGAAAATAGTGGCTTAAAACAGAGTCAGCAAACTTTTTCTGTAAAGGACCAGATAGTAGATATTTTCAGCTTTCAGGCCATATGGTCTCTTTTGCAACTCCTCAGCTGTGCTGTTGTTGGACAAAAGTAGCCATAGATAATAGGTAAATGAATGACTGAGGCTGTGTTCCAGCAACATTTTATTTACAGAAATGGGCAGTGGGCCTGATTTGGCTGGAAGGTCCTATTTTGCAGACCCCTGGTTAAAAACTGAACATTTTCCTGGTGCAAAGCCTGGGAAATATGATTCTAGGTGTGATGGCATACTTAGGCCTTGTGTATTAAGTGCTTTGGGTGATTCATACAAGTAACTGGATGAATACACAGTGTGAAGGAGTATTTTCATTAATCTTTGGAGACTCTTATTAAGTTAAAAACGAAGGGCCAGACTAGGTGCTATTAGGGATGCATAGAATGTCCCTTCAGAGGAGGAGCCTATGACTGTGAATAGATACAGCTTAAAATATAACCCACATACTTTTTATATTTTAATATAGTTTAAAAACAGATAACCACATTGCTGGTAATATCTCCCAGTGTAGACATAGACATATGTGCTTTTTTGGGCATTAAATCTTTGATTACCTATTGGTACATGTAGCCATGAAAGAGAAACATGTGGCTCCTCTGAAATTTGTTTTTTATGGAAATACAAAGAAGATTTAGAAAATCGTTCTCCTTCTGATTATAATACTTGGCTTAGAATGTGATAAGCGTTCATACTTCAATAAAATTGAAATAAACTTAATAACTTGGTGAATAGAAGCTGAAAAAAATTTTTTACAGCGTTTTTATTAAGACGGATATCCCCATCTGAAGAAGGTATAACTTATTTTCTGTTTCTGTAAGGTCTGATTCTTTTCTTTAGGCCCTTTATTGATACGTAGAATTAAAAATAACGCTTTGGGCAAATGCACTTGGATCAGGTTTACATTGATGAGTGTTTATTGGAGACTTATTTAGGATTTGCTTCACTCTAAATGTTAGTTCTTATGTCTAGGATAATGTTGTTTGTCTGTCTCCAAAACTGGCACAAAGTCTTGGAAATATGAACCAGATTTGTGTGTGTATTCGAGTAACCAGTGCCATCCATCTCATAGATCCACATACCCTACAAGGTAAGTTTCAGGAAATATTTGCCTTGATAGTTCTGTCTAGCAAGCAGTAATAATTTATGTTAATTTTATCAGCGTCAGTGATATTGTTTTGAAAAACTAGTTAAAATTTTTACTGTTTAGTTTTTATAAACTACTGGAATTTTAAAAGTTTTTGATAAGTTACCTTTGTATTTTTTTTTTTTTTTGTGAGGAAGATCAGGCCTGAGCTAACATCCATGCCAATCCTCCTCTTTTTGCTGAGGAAGACTGGCCCTGAGCTAACATCTATTGCCATTCCTCCTCCTTTTTTTCCCCCCTTTTTCTCCCCAAAGCCCCAGTAGATAGTTGTATGTCATAGTTGCACATCCTTCTAGTTGCTGTATGTGGGACGCCACCTCAGCGTGGCCAGACAAGTGGTGCGTCGGTGCGCGCCCGGGATCCGAACCCTGGGCCGCCAGTAGCGGAGCGCGCGCACTTAACCGCTAAGCCACGGGGTCGGCCCCAACCCTTGTATTTTTTAATTGAAGAAACAATTCTGTGAACTTTAAAAAATTTACTAGTTTTATTCCATCTATTTTTACTGAAATTGACTTATTTACTTCATTTAATTTTTGTGACTAATTATTTAAGTTCATTGCCAAATTTTAGTGTATACCAAATATTTTAGAGTTTGGAACAGTTGACTTTTTGTAATCCAGTGGAACATTTAGTTTTAAATATGAATTTAGTAATTTCATCCTTATTATACATAATTTTTAACATTCTGTTTATAAAAACTATTTTTTGAAGAAGACCCCGTATTGCAACTTGGTTGTATCTCCTGCTTGGTGTTTTTCATATATTTCCTGTAATGTAAATAGATATAAAAAATTGGGTTTATTTTGATATTTTCCAGAAAGTCATTCATTATCCTTGTCAATTAGAATTCATCAGTCCAAGGTCTGTTTGCAGTATTAGGATGAACATCTATCAGGTAGAACTTTATTTCCCATAAACTAAGCAGCTAAGATGACTGAATGTTTCTAAAATAAAATGCTAGCACGTGAACGACTTTTAAAGGCACTTAGTTCTATGGCGTTCTGATGATAGTCACTACTTAAGATAGGTTTGACATCTGATGTTCTCACAGCACAAGAAGTTTGGGGCTGATTTATAGGAATAAAAGATCCTAGAGAGGGAGTTGCCACTGTGGTTCCTGTTGACCTGATGCTCCCCAGTTCATATAGACCAACTTTTTTCTAGTTAACACATTTGATGACTTTTGAAATACTTTAATTCCCTTGTTCTTAAATGTTCTGTGTTTATTCTTAGTTGCAGATATTGATGGCAACACCTTCTGGAGTCACCCTTTCAATAGTTTATGCCATCCCAAACAGCTAGAGGAGTTTATTGTGATGGAATGCAGCATAGTTCGAGATCTAAAACGCAGTGCAGGTGCTGGAATGGTATCAAAAAAGGTAATTTTCATCCTGCCCACCTCCCCGCCCCCCCCCCACTTTTTTTTTTGGTCCCCCTTTTTTTTTTTTTTTTTGGGTTTTTTTTTTTTTTTTTTTTAATTTATTGGCAGTTCCAAAAATGTGGTTCTAAATAAAGCTAACACCACATTAGGTTAAAAATGCATTCCATGTTTGTATGTTGTATGCTTTTTAACATGTGGTCATTGTGGTGAAAATTATCAGTTATGCTATCTGCTAAGTTAATTTTTTCTCTTTAATGTTGGAGACATTTTAAAAAATGTTTACTCTGTTTTCACGATAAAGTGTTTCCTTGCTTTACTTTTGTACAGTGGGACCAAATGACAAGCTAACCTTTTTTGACTTTTTAAAAATTTTCTAACATTTTGAATTAAATATATGATATATTATCACTAAATACTTAGTACTTCAGTATGCATCTCTAAAACACATTTTTCTACATAATTAAAGTATTATCATACATATAAACTATGTAGTTTATATTCACATTTCTTCATTTGTCCCAAAATGCCTTTTATGGTTTGTCCAAGCTAGTATCTGTTGGGGACCATACACTGAATGTGAATATTATACCTCTTAAATCTTTTATTTAGTAATAGCCCCCTCCCCTCTTTTTTTTTCATGATACCAACTTCTTAAGGTAACTAGGGCATTTATCTTGTGGATCTATCTTATTGTTTCCTCATGATGTCATTTAACTTGCTTCTTAATCTCTTGTATTTCCTTTAAACTGGAAAGTGGATCTAAAAGTTTGCTTAAATTTAGGTTAGTTATTTTTGGTCAGAACATTTCAGAGGTGATGCTATGTACTTTTTATGATATATCAAGAGCCAAGTAATGTTTGGCTGTTTCACTGATAGCCAGATCTCTCCATTGTAACGTTAGGATTTTTTCCCCCCCTTTTCACTAGCCTGCCTGCCTGCCTTCCACTCAGATTGCCCCAAATTTAGTTAGTGGGAGCCCCTTCAGAATAGTTTCTATGTCCTTCTTAAAAAAAATTTTTTTAACAACTTTTACTTTTTTAGAGTAATTTTAGGTTCATAGCAAAATTAAGAGGAGGTAAGAGATTTTTCCCATATATCCCCTGCCTCCACTCATGCATAGCCTCCTCCATTATCAGTATCCCTCCATCAGAGTAGTACATTTGTTATAATTGGTGAACCTACGTTGACACATTGTAATCACCCAAAGTCCATAGTTTACATTACGTTTTACTCTTGGTATTATACTTTTACTCTTGGTATTATACGTTCTATGGGTTTGGAAAAATGTATAATGACGTGTATCCATCATTATAAAACCATACAGGGTATTTTCACTGCCCTAAAAATCCTCTGTACTCTTTGTATTCATTCCTCCCTTCCTCCCAACCCCTGGCAATCACGAATCTTTTTACTGTCTCTATAGTTTTGCCTTTTCCAGAATGTCTTATAGTTGGAATCGTATAGTCTTTTCAGATTGGCTTCTTTCACTTATTAGTATGCATTTAAGCTTCCTCCATGTCTTTTCATGGCTTGATACTCTTTTTTTTTTTTTTTTTTTAAATGCCAAATCATATTTCGTTGTCTGGATGTACCATAGTTTATCTATTCACCTACTGAAGGACATCTTGGTTGCTTCCAAGTTTTGGCAATTATGAATAAAGTTGCTATAAACAACCTTGTACAGGTTTTTGTGTGGACATAAGTTTTCAACTCCTTTGAATAAATACCAAGGAGCACATTTCTTGGGTCGTTTGGTAAGAGTATGTTTAGTTTTGTAAGAAATCGCCAAACTGTCTTCCAAAGTGGCCGTAGCATTTTGCATTCCCATCAGCAATTCCCTGTTGCTGCACATCCTCATCAGCATTTGGTGTTGTCATTGTTTAGGATTTTGGCCATTCTAATAGGCGTGTAGTGGAATCTCATTGTCAGTTTAATTAGCGATGACATATGATGTGGAGCATCTTTTCATGTGCTTATTTGCTATCTGTATATCTTCTTTGGTGAGGTGTCTGTTAAGGTCTTTGGCCCATTTTTAATAGGATTATTTGTTTTCTTATTGTTGAGTTTTAAGAGTTACTTGTATATTGTGGATAACAGTCCTTTATTAGATGTGTCTTGCAAATATTTTCTCCCAGTCTGTAGTTTATTTTCTTATTCTGTTGACATTGTCTTTTGCAGAGCAGAAGTTTTTAATTTTAATAAAGTCTAATTATTTCTTTCATGGATAGTGCCTTTGGTGTTGTATCTGAAAAGTCATGGCCAAACTCAAGGTCAGCGAGGATTTCTCCTATGTTCTAGGAGTTTTATAGTTATGTGTTTTACACTTAGGTCTGTGAATCCATTTTGAGTTAATTTTTGTGAAGAGTGTAAGGTTTGTGTCTAGACTGATTTTTTTTTGCATATGGATGTCTGGTTGTTCACCATTAGTTGAAAAAACTATCTTTATTTTTGCTCCATTGTGTTGCCTTTGCTCTCTTGTCAAAGATCAGTTGACTGCATTTATGTGGGTCTATTTCTGGGCTCTCTGTTCTGTTTCATTGATCTATGTGTCTGTTGTCAGTACCACCCTGTCTTGATTACTGTAGCTTTATAGTAAGTCTTAAAGTTGGGTAGTGTCAGGCCTACAACTTTGTTCTTCTCCTTCAAACTTGTGTTGACTAATCTGGATCTTTTGCCTCTCCATATAGGCTTTAAAATCACTTTGTTGATATCCACAGAATAACTTGTTGGGATTTTGATTGGGATAGCATTGATTTTATAGATCACTTTGGGCGGAACTCACATCTTGACTATATTGAGTCTTCCTATCCATGAAGATGCAGTATCTCTCCATTTATTTAGTTCTTTGATTTTATTCCTCAGAGTTCATCAGAGTTTTGTAGTTTCCCTCAGGCAGGTCTTATATATACAGTCATGGACCGCATGACAACATTTCAATCAACAATGGAGTGCATATATGACAGTGGTCCCATAAGACTAGTACCATATAGCCTAGGTGTGTAGAAGGCTTTACCATCTAGGTTTGTGTAAGTATACTCTATGTTTGCACAATGATGAAATCGCCTGATAGCGCATTTCTCAGAACACATTCCCACCGTTAAGTGCTGCATGACTGTATTTTGTTAGATTTATACCTAAGTATTTCATTTTTTGGGGTGCTAATGTAAATGGTATTGTGTTTTTAATTTCAAGTTATACTTGTTTGGGTTGGTATGTGGGAAAGTGATTAACTCGTTTATAACCTTATATCCTGTAACCTTGCTATATATAGTTCCAGTAGTTTTTTTGTCTGTTCAGATTTTCTACATAAACGATCATGTCATCTGCAAACAAAGATAATTTTATTTTTTTGTTCCCAATCTATATACCTTTCATTTCTTTTTCTTGTCTTTTGCATTAGCTAGGATTTCTAGTAGGATATTGAAAAGGAGTGGTGAGAGGGGATATCCTTGCCTTGTACCTGACCTTAGTGGGAAAGCTTCAAGTTTCTCACCATTAAGTATAATGTTAGCTGTAAGTTTCTTGTACATATTCCTTATCAAGTTGAGGAAGTTTCCCTCTATTCCTATTTGCTGAGAGTTTTTATCATGCATGGGTATTGGGTTTTATCAAAGGCTTTTTCTGCATCTATTGATATCATCATGTGATTTTTCTTTTTTAGCCTGTTGAATGTGATTGATGGATTACACTAATTGAGTTTCAAATGTTGAACCAGCCTTGCATACATGGGGTGAATCCCACTTGGTCCTTGTGTACAGTTCTTTTATATTTTGATAAGGATTTTTGCATCTGTGTTCATGAGAGATTATTGGTCTATAATTTACTTTCCTTGTAATGTCTTTGTCTGGTTTTGATATTAGAGTAGTGTTGGCCCTGTAAATGAGTTAGAAAGTATTCCCTGTGCTTCTGTCTTCTGGAAGAGATTGTAGAAAATTGGTATAATTTCTTCCTTAAATGCTTGGTAGAATTCACCAATGAATCAATCTGGGCCTGGTGCTTTCTGTTTTGGAAGGTTATTAATTAATGATTCAATTTCTTTAATGGGTATAGGTTTATTCCTATGTCTTTGTGACATGACTTGCCTGGTCTTTGAAAGCATCCTTATTTTCTGGCACAATACTCTAACTTTCAGATGTTCCAGAATCACATTGTATAGTCATACCTCATATCTGAAATCAAGTATTTTTTCAAGGATATAAGTAATCTCTTTTACTGTGAAATAGTATTTAGAAACCCCCAGTCTGGATACTTCAGTTGCTCGTTTCTGTTGAGGTAATAATTGTGTCTTGAGACAAAAATAACTTCTGATAATTTGGGAAGATGAATGGAAATGGAAGACATTACTTTTCACATTTTTATTTAAAATAATTTAATAATATGGTTACAAGCAAACTTTTATTTATAATAAATATAGAAGAACACCACTTCCTGTCAGACTCATATAAAACCAGATATTATATTTTCTTGGTTTACAAAAAATACATTTAGCTAGAACAGGTTCCTAAGTCACATAAATAGAAGCAGTCTAGTAGCTAGAAAGTGAATCCTGTTATAAAGAATTTAGTCTCTCCCTGTTAATTCAGGTGTTTTTTTTTTTTTTGGTTCTTTCTTAAATCTGGGGACTTTTATTTCAGTTTCTCCCTTTATCTCTACCTCTTCTTTCAAACTCTTTGAGATTCCTTAATTCTATCTGTAATTCTTAGTATTTTGCTTTTTATCCCATTTTACTTGGGTCTGTTTTTGTTGGTAAAAGGTATTGGCATGTGCTATACTTAATTCAGCCTGGAAGTTTGAAATGTCAGTTGCAATTACTTGTAAAACCTATGCTGGAAAGAGACTTCAATGGTTTTGTAGTTTAAAATTTCAAACTTGGGATGTTGTTTCTGCAACAAATAGAAAAAATAGAAGAGGGGTTATGCCTCAAAATAGTAGACATCCAAAAGGTTGATTTGATAAAGATTTGGGTTCTCTAATAGTAGTGGTGCCACACTGGGATTGCTAGATTGTTTTGTCTGAACCCTGGTTTGTTGAACCTTATGTGTAAGACCAAGGGATTTCTTAGGACGTTTTCTGGATTTAAGATGCCCCTACTTTTTCAGTTTTTCTTTTTTGCTCAGTTTATATTGGCTCATCTCCCTGTGAAAATATTTCTTTTGAAAATTCTACATATGTCTGTTTTTAGGTGACATTGTTAATGTTTTCATAAAAGGCTTGAATAAAATCTTAACAAAAAATATATATTTTATGAATTTCTCATCTTTTCCTTACTCATAATTCAGTAATTTGTTAATTTTGGCAGTGTTTCTGAGATCTGAAAAAAAAAACAGTTTCTGTCTTTAAAATGAAAATTAGAAAACCAAAATCAGCATTGTATTTAACTTTTCTATGAGATACTTTTTGAGTTATGGCTAGATTATTGAAGAGTGCGTTTTCTTTCCTGTTAAGCATACCCTCGGGGAAGTCTGGGTGCAGAAAACATCTGAAATGAATACTGATAAACAGTATTTTTGTCGCACTCATTTGGGACATCTTCTAAATCCTGGAGACCTGGTGTTGGGGTTTGTATTATTTTATAGAATTTTAAACTGCCAATTAGCATTGCACATTTTCTTTGGGAGCCAGCAAAGCTATCTAAAATACTAAGGTTGTTTATTCCAAAAAGAATTTGAGTTCTTAGGAGCCTTATAGCTTATTTTATTATTGATAACTAAATTAAACTGTGGATTGGACAGAAGCCTATAGTTATTCCATTTTCACCATCATCTTCGAGAGTCATTTGTTCTAAGATTTTGAGTAATTGAACCCTGAAGTTGTATGGTTAGATCGTATTTACATTTTTCATATTTCAAATTCAAAAATTTACATATTTACAGTTTTGGGGAGTGAGTAGTTTTTTATTGTGTATATGCTGCTGCTCAAATATTTCACTTGTAAAATATGGCAGCTATATACGTAAGAGATCTTTACAGGCTTAGGATAAGTCCATTCTGATGCAGAGCTTATCTGCATGCCTTAAACATTGCTTTGGCTCTTAGGATTTCAGTTCCTTTTATTAGAGAATGAGGTTTTTATTTTTTTGTTTTTGTTTTTTAATAAACCAAATGGAACTGTCTAACTGAATCCTAATGTTAGACTGATATATAAGTCTGTTTTGCTTCTGTTACAAGTGTATGGTAAGGTGAACGATAATGGATAATATGTGAAACTCAGAGATACAGTGCATTATCATGTTTACCATGTTTATCATGTAGAAGCATGTTCACCGTATAGTAAACTGCAAAACTTTTGAAGTGGGAGAGCATATTAAATATTTGATCTTAGGAGGAACTTTTAGGTGATCATCCATAAAATAAAAAGTTACGTGGAAATAGTAAATGTTTTTGTCATTGTGTTTCATTGTTTTCATTTCAGGTTTGATTTGGCCAACTGTAACTTAAATGATGAGCATGTCAACAAAATGAACTCGGATAGAGTCCCAGATGTGGTAAGGCTTTAGATTTTCCTGTTTTTTCCTGTGTTAAAGAGGATTGATATAACTCTCATGGATAAGATGCACGAGTTCACATTTTTGAAAATAACAGGTCCCTTTACAGGTTTCTTTTGAAATTGCAATTAAGGTATAATAGCAAAAGCTTTCATTTTAAATCATTTTTCTTGGTGGGAAAAATTCAAGATTTATTGAGTTTTTTTGTTGCTCTTATAATCAAATTTTTATTCTCTGTTAAAATGCTTGACACTGTAGAATAAAAATATATTTGCAGCTAAAAGTGATGACTTTCAGAATTTATTCGGGTGTATTTTATTAGGCTCAGCTTATTTCATGTATTGTTCAGTTAAGAAGGCATTTAGAGTTAAAATCGTTATTCAGGTTTGAATATAATTGCAGTTGAGAATATCTTCACAGTATTAATTCTTTTTTTCTTTCTTTCTTTTTTTGCTGGGTAAGATTTGCCCTGAGCTAACATCTGTTGCCAATCCTACTCTTTTTTTTTTTCCCCTCCCCAAAGACCCAGTACATAGTTGTATATTCTAGTTGTAAGTCCTTCTAGTTCTTCTGGGTGAGCTGCCACCACAGCATGGCTACTGACAGAGGAGTGGTGTGGTTCTGTGACTGGGAACCGAACCTGGGCCGCCGAAGTGGAGAGCACCCGACTTTAACCACTAGGCCATCAGGGCTGGTTCACACCGTATTAAATCTTAGAGAAAGAGTGTTACTTCTGAAAAAACCTGTTAAATTCTAACATAAGTTTATAAGAGTCATGGGCAACAGTGAATGTGAAATGTGGAAGACCTATCTCCTGCATGCCTAATCTTTTGAAATAAACATTGATTTCTTTCGCTGTGGGCAAAAATAAAGTCATGGTATAAGGACTCTCCTCCTCACCACTCAGCTGTGCTTTTATTAGTTCATAGATTAGGAAATTGAAGCATGGTTTAGGTGTAAGTCTAAATAGGTATTTCTAACAAGGTCATAAGAGGAGATGAAGATGGTCTTATAAGACTTTGTATTGTGTAAAATTATTTTCGTTTGTTCATTCCACAATTTATTACACTGTTCTAGCACATACAGTTGTGAAAGATATATATAGTTTTATAAGTGCTTATTACTAGGAATAGAAGGGCAAAAAAGTGTCTGCCTGTGATAATGTTTCAGAATGATGATGTGAATGCTAGCTGAAAACTGAACTTTGCTATAAAAAAAAAGAAACCATCAGAAACTCTGAAATTTTTGGTATAAAAATAATTTGATTTTCAATCACTGGAAAATTTCAATTAGTAAATTTTAACAATTACACAAATAATGTTTGAATGCATTCTCATAAAAAAGTATATGGAGAAAAACATTAAAAGTTCTTTTGACACTGCCTCTTGATGCCTACTCCTTTCTCCAAAGTGTAACCACTGTCATCAGTTTGGTGACTTCCTGGCATTCCCATAACCTTTCTTTTTTTAACTTTATTGGGTTTTGAGGCCCTATTACCTAGTTCCCATTTTTTGTAACTTTGCAAATATTTCTGTTACTTTTAGGTATTAATCAAGAAGAGCTATGACCGTACCAAACGTCAGCGACGTAGAAACTGGAAACTGAAAGAACTTGCAAGAGATAGAGAAAACATGGATACAGATGATGAAAGGTCCCACTTTTCTTTAAACTTTATATGTTGTTTCAAAGGAAATCCTTGTGATAAATCTTTATGGTTTTTACGTTATAAAGAAATAGTCATCACACAACTGATCTTTGTACTCTATTAATTTTGTGTTCTCACCAATGTGTTGATCAAATCAGTGTAAGAGGATATAGTGACATTTAACACAGACTTGGTTATTATTTACTGGGTTATGACCTGTTAATTGCAGTGTTATTGCAAACAATTCATTTGAAAACTTAAAATATAATAAGTAATTACATTGTGGATATCACAAATAGCAAATGAATACTCAGACTTGGGATGAAAAGAAAACAACCCATCAATATCAAATATGCTATTTTTCAAGCAAGTTAAGGAGAAAGTAAAATATTGTGTTCTAGAAAAGTGGATTGGATGATTCGAAAAGTGGCCTGGATGGTGAAGACACTGATGTCTAAAGAAATGAAGAGTTTAAGGCCAGCCCTGGTGGCCTAGTGGTTGAGTTTGGCATGCTCTGCTTTGGAGGCCCAGGTTTGGTTCTGGAGTGCGGACCTTCACCACTCATCAGTGGCCATGCTGTGGCAGCGGCTCACATACAAAACAAGGAGGAAGATTAGTAACAGATGTTAGGTCAGGGCGAATCTTCCTCAGAAAAAAAAAAAATGAAGAGTTTAAATAAAATTTTGTCATGAAATGTGAATAGGAAACAGCAGTATTTCTAAAATATAATCTTCATAATGTAATTTAAAATAAGGATGTATAAATATATAATGTTAAATTAGTCAGATATTATAAGTAACATATTTGACTATTTTATCTATAGTCTTAAAAGTACATATATTTCAACTTGACTGTAAGACTTTTTTGGGGGAGGGTAAACTAGGAAGGGGTCTTTTCATTGTCTTATATTTAACATCCCCTTATATTCAGTTGTGTATTTTTTTATCATGTAATTTTGAAAGAAAAGATTTTTTAAAAACTTGTCAGTTTTTAATTAACATCCATGTTTGACCTTTGGATATTTTTAAAGATGTTAATACTTGGAACACATTTATCTTATAGTGCTGAAAATGAAGAAAACATAACTTCATACTTTCTTGGTAAAGATGAAATATTTAAATGTTTCGTTATCCTTCTATAGGCAATACCAGGATTTCCTTGAAGATCTTGAAGAAGATGAAGCAATTAGAAAAAACGTAAACATTTACAGAGGTTGGTATTTTAGGACTGTTTAAGTTGTATCTTCTGTATAAAGATGTACTACCCCAGGATGAGTATTTTGGTATCTTAAACTTTGATTCCGTAAATGACTTGTGTGTGTTTTTAAAACTACCCTAGTTAAACATTTACCAAAACTTACAGAACAGTAAAACTTATTAAAAAGTTGTTTGCCGTACCAAAGTTGATATCATTTGTATCCTAGCATTATCCCTATACTAGTGGCTATTTATTCATACCTTTATGCAGTTAGTCATTCAGTGAATATTTAAATGCCTGCTCCAGATATGATACGAGAGCTGTGGATATAATATGGTTAAATAATAGTAATGATATTGGGGGCAGGTATGTGTATATTTCCATATTTGTATTAGTTTGAAATCCTCCTTGTATTTTTTCTTAGATTCAACCATTCCTGTGGAAAGTGACACAGATGATGAAGGAGCACCTCGAATTAGTCTGGCTGAGATGCTTGAAGACCTTCACATTTCCCAAGATGCTACAGGTGAAGAAGGTGAATCGATGATGACATAATAAGATCCTGTTGTAGATGGTTTCTGTGTTTGTAGGCTTAGCATATTGGACAAAATAACTTTTACAGTCTGTTCCATGTATGCCTCTATATTAAAAGAGGAGAAATTTAGCGTTAAACCTGAGTAAATAGGAGTATTTTGATTGCTCACACAAAATGCTGAAAAAGATTTAGATAACAATAGATTATGGAGAATGTAATTATTGATATTTCGGCCATTTTATGTTTGAAATTTTATCGGTTCGCTTTTTTTATGAGACACTAATATTTTCACATACTGAAAATCTCAAGTGTTATGATTCCTTGGAGGTTACCTAAATTTTCAAGCATAAAACAAGGTTTTACAACTCTTTTTATATTGATTGCTTTAGAAAAAGAGCATATGAAGAATCATTTTTAATTTGAATTTGCTATGCACTTTGCTCCACTTTAGATCATTTTTATGCCCTTGGGTTAGGGAAGTTGGGGTTCAGTTTATCACTAGACATTCAAGAGGAAAGTTAATCTTTTTTATTTATAGTGTTAACATCTTCAAAAGATGTTATACTATAACATATACAATATAACATAATTATAATAATATTATAATTATAATCTTTGAATATATTCAAAAGATTCATAATATTAGCATCCTCAAAAAATATAAACTGTTAATTTTTATTACAGAAGAAAATATATTTAAAATATTTGTGGATTTGTAGCAAACATAGACTAATTATTTAAAGGTTAAATAACAATTTGTACCTTTGTTATTTTTGTCTGTGCCAGCAGCTTAGGGCAGTAGCTGCTTATGTCATAAAAATGTCTTCCTATCCTTAAGGGATTTTGCTTTTAAAATTTTGATTTACAAATTGGGAAGGAAGGCATTTTCTCTATATAAGTTTTTATCATTGAACACATCACTATCAAAAAGAAATTATCCAGCATATAGATGATGAATTAATAAAAATGATCTTCATTCTTTATAAAACCATGAATCAAATTTGAATGAGGAATGCTTTTCACATCCTTGAAAGAAAAGCCTTGGCTTGAGTTTTAAAGTTTTCTGAGAATGGAGTATTAAGATCCTATTTCTATAAGCAAGATCAGACTTACTGAGTATTCCAGAACTAAGAGTTAATTCATAAATTGTCTGTAGACCACTAAATAAGGAAATTGAGTAAGTGCTGAATGGAACATTTTCCTTTTTTTGAAATTGAACTCCTCAATTCTGAAGTTAGGAATAAAGACCTGAACTTTCTATAATGACTACTTTCTGTCTTCATATTTAGTTAAAATGATCACTTGTGGTATGTGATTACTTCTATGTCAAGATGTTAAAAAGCATGAAAAATAAAAATATTCTTCCCCTTTTTTGTGTCCTGGAAGTGATTGTATCAGTGTCGTGTTTAAATGGCAGAGAATCTCATGCAGTTTTCCAGAGTGGAATTATGTTATGTGCTTGTCATATGATTTTCACACTGAAAAATATAGTTTCTTACCAACCTTGTTTAGTCTTATGATTTTTTTTTTTTTGGTGAGGAAGATTAGCCCTGGGCCAACATCTGTTGCCAATCCTCCTCTTTTTGCTGAGGAAGATTGGCCCTGGGCTAACATCCATGCCATTCTCCTCCATGTTACATGTGGGACGCCTGCCACAGCATGGCTTGATAAGTGGTGTACAGGTCCACGCCCAGGATCCGAACCCATGAGCCCTGGGCTGCTGAAGCAGAACGCGTGCACTTAACCACTACGCCACTGGGCCGGCCCCTGTGTAGTCTTATAATTATTGATGTTGTGTCTTTATGAGTAATGAAATCTGTTGGTTGAAAAAAGGTTGTGACAAGGTGAAGGAATGCTGTTAGCCGAGAGCTTGCACAGAGTTATTTAGCCTTGATAAATCTATCATTTTAGAGTGTGGTTCCCAGGCTTATGGGTCCCAAAATACTCTTGTTGATGGCTCAGAGTTGATATAATTTGGGAAGGCTGGTATTAATCAAATTCACAAGAAGCTGGTTTATAACCCAATTTATAAGTATGAGTAATTTCTAAGTCAGTATAATCCATTGTCTTCTTTTCTAGCCAGATCTAACCTGAAGCTGCTGTTTTATAGGCAGAAGTTCAGTTGATGAGCAAGGAAACAATTGAGGAAAAGATTTGCTTGTGTAATTCAGATGTTTACCAGCATCAAGCTAAGTCCTTGCCATACTAGAACCCAGAACTCCAGTCTGTGCCAGGACACAGTTCTCTGGTCAGTACTGAGTCAGTACTCAATTTCAGTAAATGTGTTCATGTTGATTCCATCTTTTAGGTTACTTGATCTGTTATTTTTAGCCCAAGGGACATTTACTTTTTAAAAATTATTTCTTTTTAATTTTGACATAATTTCAGACAAAGAAAAGTTGCAAGAATAGTATAAAGAATTCCTGCATACCCTTCAGTCAGTTTGCCAGATGTGAATACGTAACCTAATTTGCTTTCTTTCTCTCTGATTTTTTTTTCCTGAACCATTTAAGAGTAGCCCCCCCTAAATATTTCAGTGTTTTTCCCCACAAAAAACAAGGGATTTTTGGGCCGGCCCCGTGGCTTAGCGGTTAAGTGCGCGCGCTCCTCTACTGGCGGCCCAGGATCGGATCCTGGGCGCGCACCGACGCACCGCTTCTCCGGCCATGCTGAGCCTGCGTCCCACATACAGCAACTAGAAGGATGTGCAACTATGACATACAACTATCTACTGGGGCTTTGGGGGGAAAGAGGAGGAGGATTGGCAATAGATGTTAGCTCAGTGCCGGTCTTCCTAAGCAAAAAGAGGAGGATTAGGGGCCAGCCCGGTGGCGCAAGCGGTTGAGTGCACGCGCTCCGCTGCGGCGGCCCGGGGTTCGCTGGTTCGGATCCCGGGCGCCCACCGACGCGCTGCTTGACAAGCCATGCTGTGGCGGTGTCCCATATAAAGTGGAGGAAGATGGGCACAGATGTTAGCCCAGGGCCATCTTCCTCAGCAAAAAAAGAGGAGGATTGGCGGATGTTAGCACAGGGCTGATCTCCTCACAAAAAAAAAATAAAAATAAAAAAAGAGGAGGATTAGCATGGATGTTAGCTCAGGGCTGATCTTCCTCACACACACACACACAAAAACAAAAAACCCAAGGGATTTTCTTACATAACCACAGTGCAGTTATCAAAATTAGAAAATTAACATTGACACAATACTGTTATCTAATCAATGGACTATATTGAGATTTTGTCATTTGTCCCAACTATAAAACGTCTTTTGTAGAAAAAATAAATCTAAGATTGTGTATTGCATTGGGTTCTCATATTTCTTTAGAATTCTTTCATCTGGACCCATTCCTGAGTTTTTATGTTTCAGGTCATTGACATTTTTGAACAATCCAAACCAGTTGTTGTAGAATGACCTCAGTTTGGGCTTGTCTGATGTTTTCTCAAGATTTGATTTAGGTTAAGTCCTTTTAGCAGGCCTACTCCAGAAGTAACGCCAAATTCTTAATGCAGTGTTAGGAGACACATGCTGTCCGTTAGTCCAGACGTTCTCCGACTTGCTTGGGTTATTTGTTAGTTTTCCGTTTTAAGGAATTAAAGGATTTAATCCTTTACAATCATTATTGTCACTTGATTTTTCTTTTTAAATTCATTTTTAACTTATAGACGGTGAAGGTTACTCTTTTGATTTAGAGTTATATGAATTTTGACACCTATAGATTCATATAATCACTACAATCAAAATACAGAACAATTCTGTCATCCTCCCCAACCTCTGAAAAATTCCCTTTGCTACCCCTTCCTTTTCAAACCCTTCCCCCATCCTTAACCCCTGGCAACTTCTGATCTGTTCTCTGACCTTACGGTTTGCTTTTTCCAAAATAATTTAATGAAATCACACAGTATGTAGTCTTTTGAGTCTGGCTTTTCTCATTTAGCACGGTGCACTTCAGGTTCGTCCAAGGTGTTGTCTATACCAAGAGTTTGTTCCTTTTTGAGTAGTGCTGCATTGTATGGGTGTAGCACAGTTTTATCCATTCCCCTGTTGAGACACATGTAAATTTCCAGGTTTTGATGGTTAGGAGTAAAGCTGCTATGAACATTTCTGTACAGGTTTTCATTTTACTGGGATAAACAACTAGGTTTTTTTTTAAGCCATCCTAATAGGTGGATGGTGGTGTCTTTTTGTGGTTTTAATTTGCATTTCACTAATGGCTAATTATGTTGAACATCTTTGCATGTGCTTATTTGTTATCTATATATTTTCATTGGTAGAATGACAGTTCAAATCTTCTGTCTACTTTTTAAAATCGAATTGTTTGTTTTCTTATTACTGAGTTAACTTTTATTTTGATACTCTCGTTGTCCCAGAATTGGCCATTGGGTACTGCATCAATCTGGCTTCTTTGTCCTTTTGAGAGATCCTTCTCCATGTATTTGATATTGTTCACGGATGCTGATACTGGGCAGGTTTTGGGTTTCCCTTGTTCAGGTCCCACGTGCACTCTGCTCTTGGCTTATTTTCATGGTAGGGACCAGTTTACCTAAAAATAGACCAGTTTACTTAAAAATAGGCCAGCCTCAATTGAGTCATCATGTAAATTAAGGAATCATGAAATGGCATCATAAAAAATACAGATGTAAGCTATTCATTCTCAGTTTATCAATTTTGTCATATGTTGATGTAACTTGGTCAGTGGCGTGGTGAGCCTTGATGAAGGCAAGAAATCAGTCTCCGTATCTCTTTGAACTTCCAAATAGTATAAGGAGAATATTCAGTTTTAGTTCTTTGACTTGATACGTTTTGAAAGAACTGCCTAATTGCCTAGGGTAGAATAAGATCTGTGTAGTATTTAAAAGTCATTAGGAGTAGGTTTGGCAGCCATGGTGTTTCTGTAGCAATTCTGCTTGTATTGTTTTATCTGATGGAGATTTTGTTTTTGTTGGTGTTAGCACTAACAGTGGTGCCTGTCACACATTTTTCTTTTGACACAGGTTCACATTAATATGGGTATTTATAACCCTCTTCATAGCATTGTTGTGAAGTACTTTTAAGATAATATGTGTACTAGCACTTGTTTATGAAATGCTGAACAGGTAATTCTAGGGAACTGTTATACAGAAGTAAAAGTATGTTTTGGATTCCCCTTACCTGCCACCTATTAGCTGTCTGACTTAATGAACCTCTGTTTCCTCATCTTTTAAAAAGGTGTAATATCGTTCACTATGGAGTATTGCCAAAATTCTTAGCATAGTCAGGATGCAACAGATTGTAATTACTCAATAAA